GCACAATTTACTAATTAGTTCTCTCGATTTATAAATCGTGTGCACCATTTAGCAAATCGAGGGAACGAATTAGTAAATCGTGAGCACAATTTATAAATCGAGGGAACTAAATAGTAAATCGTGCGCACGATTTAGCCTACTATTTTTTCCCTGCATGCCAGTTGCAAATGCGGCTGAAATGGTCGCATTGTGGTGTTTCTTAGTGTTAACCTCTGTGTTATTTTGGTGTCTGTCAGAGGTTTTTGATTGTGATACACACACACACACACACTCACTCACTTATTTATTTATTTATTCATATATTTATTTATTCACACTCACTGCTTAACGTCATGTTAAATTGCTAGCATACAGCATGCTTTTCCTGTAACTAATCACTTACGATCATATAAATCTGTAGAGAGTCTGTACTTGCTTCGATAAAACAAGTAAACCAAAATAACTGTTGTAATAAAGATTGTTCTGTGTCTTTGGGCTAGAACAGAGTTTTTGGTGCATTCTCTCAAATAGGACTTTTAATTAAACTGGTGAGGATAATTTGAGACTTAAGGCCATTTCTACATAAAACTTTAGTCTGCAACTGCAAGTTTTAATAATAATCTTGCCAGTGGAGGGGTAAAAGAAGATGCTTAGCTTTGCCTAAAGGACAGAGGTCAAATAGAAGTGAGAGATGATCCAAAGTAACATGATAATGTGAAGACAACAACATATTAAAGTATGTGCAGAAAACATTTCAAACTATTTCATGTGGAAATATTGGGATTGTCATATTTCCATTTCCTTTTGTGTCTATTTGTGGCTCAAAGTTCTCTTACAATGTGGCCCAGTTCAAAGAATGTAATAAATATATTGGCACTACTGTGTAAGTCTGCAGACACAAAACTCATAATTCCAGGCTTGACAGACTCAACAAAACTTTACGTACTGCATTGTCTACATTACAAATCCCACAAGATTTTCAATGTTTTATTACCTTAGGAAATCAAGATTCAAAGTAGCATTTAAAAACTTGGCTAAAGTACAAAAGCAGTTCAAATTAATGCCGATAAATTGCACGGCCAAACAGCCAGGAAGAATGAGATTTTTGAAGGTTCAATCAGTGAAATCAAAAGAAAGGATATGCCACTTGTGGGTCCTTACAAAAACCTACCCTGTAGTGACAGCAGAAGTAAAGAAAAAAAATCACACAGAAAGTAGTTTAGACTATGACTGATCACACATTAGGTTGCCACTGAACATGACAGGGAGTCATATTCTAGATTTCATATTCTGGACCTTCTAAGTGCACTTCTTTTCTCATTACATCTTCCCTGAGTTTTCCTCAGTAAATAAGGTACCTAGAGGGAGTTTAATCCTTCTGCCAGGCAGATAAGTGGCCCATGGTAACCTCTCCTCAATTTGAATAAGGAATCTCACTGCACCGGGAGAAATACATTAACCGATTCCAAAAATGGCCAGTGATGCAAGAACATGAGTAATTTAATTTCTAGTGGGCTTTATTTCACCATTTACGTGAGGCACTTGTGGTAATCATGTCATTTATATCAATAACATTGAATGTCTACAATGATTCATCAGTTTAGTCCCTTTTTTGGATACAGACTCATTTGTAAACTAGTCACACACATTAAAATAGAGTTATTTTAAATCTTAAAAAGAAAAGCTGCCATTTCAAAGTTATTCAAGAAAGCTATGTGCAGTCTATGAATCTATATGCTTTTACCATTTGAATACTAGAGGTCGACCGATGTATCGGTTTTGCCGATTAATCGGCACCGATAGTTGATTGTTGGAACTATCGGTTATCGACAAAAATCCATGCCGATTTTTTCCCGGGTTGCGTCCATTGCTGGAGCGGCTGAGAAGGGTCTGCTGTCATTACACAGTGCGAGAGCGGCCTCTAGTGGTTGAAATCACTAACAGCACATGCTATTTGTTTAGACACACGATACTGCACGCTGAACAGAGCGGGAAACTTCAGACGCGGATTTAAATGCAGCCGACAGAAAATCCTGCCGCGCCACAGAGCACCATTCACATAGTTTTCCTTTAAATTACATTATATTGGTCCTGAATCATTGTTAATGTAAAAAAAAAAAAATTCTGTGGCTCTAATAAAGTCTGTGTGCTTCATTTATAGAGCTATAATATAGGTCGCACTTTCTCTTTCTGTTTGCTCCATTTTTTAAACACAGACCTTCAAACTCATCTATGCCAAATTGTTCCTTCTTGAAGTAAACTTGTGTACGTTAATTAATCGGTATCAGCCAGTGTGGTCCAACCTAGCTATCGGTATCGGCAAAATCCACTATCGGTCGACCTCTATTGAATACTATTAGGGCTGTCGCGATTCGTCGATTTTATTCGACATTTTGATTTTTAAAAATCCTCGACTTCATTTTGCTTGCATAGACGAGAATCCATAAAATACATTATTAGACTGTTTCCGAAGGCTGCATGATATATTAAACCCAATTAAAAATCATAATTAAGCATAATTGTGAATTCACAAACGCTATACGATTTAATTAAATAATTATATGCGATGCAGTTCTAATACAGTATATGCCCTTTAATTATTTACATGCGTGTAGGTTAAGTAACGTACATGCGTCACACAGCGGCTCCGTTCACAGTAGTTCCACAGGAACTGTTATCATTTACATGTGTGGAGCGTCTCAAAATCCATCTCTGCATGTTGTTGTGAGTTTGGGTATTATTATAACGTTCATCTGGGAACGCAACGTGTGCCATTTCATCAGATTTGTAAGGTAAATCATTTATAAATCTACGCAAACTCAGGAGATATACATCACGGTTTCAAAATAAAAGCTCAACCCCTCACTCTGAGTTAACACGTTTTGATGTCCACATATTTTTTAATTACAGTGGCTGTAGCATTTCTGTCCTAAAGAAATGGCCAAATATTAAAGATTAAGTGGACATTTGAATGAATGATGCTTGGTCAATATTAAACAAGTTTTAGATCGGACACAAATCAAAAAGCCAGTCTATTTAATTGCGTTTTACAGTTTTATCTTTACCAAATTCTGTTTTTCATTATTTTCTGGATTCAATTGGGGGGCTCCCCCCAGGGGCCTGACGCTGTTGGCGTCAGGACCGCATAGCCGAGGTCCTCTTCGACAAAATAACGGTCCGCAGATCCGTCTTCGGTCTAGAGGCCCCCGACTGAGAGCATCGCCCCGACCCCCGTTCTTTTTGCGGAGGGGTACGGGTTGCAACGCTCTGTTTTTGTGACTGGCCATATGAGGAGCCTGACAGCTGGGGCTGCTCCTGCTCAGCAGCCCCCTGGGCCTGGAAGCGACGAGGGAGGAACCGTTGAAACGCCGCCGCTTGCTTTCTTGCCTCCTGGAACCTCTCGACGACAGTGTTAACTGTGGCGAGTCCACATACACAGAGCGCTGCTGAAGAACAGAAGCTGGGTGGCGCCTGGCCAGATGCGCCTTTATGCTTTCTGGTGCTTACGTCACCCTGCTGGTGATGTCTCGCTGCTCCATTGGACGGATTGGACACGTGCTTCAGAACGCGGTCACGCAGGGGCGTTCCCAAAGCGAATCTCGACGCAGCTCGAGTTCCTGAAGGGGAAAGTCGTTAGTGGCAGTCCTAAATACTATCTTAGGCACAATGTGATGCAATTGTATCACATACATATTAAGAAGAATAAGCATTTCATTTTCCAATGCCTACCCAGTGGGAATCAGAATGATATGGGCTGACTCATTCATTATGGATTTAAAAACTGTAATAATCTGCATTCAATTCATTCCTGTTCTTCCAATATTAGACCCCTGGCTTTTGATTGACCTCTAATGAGTTTAATCTGCTATCTGAGGTTGGTGGAGGGTAATTGCATTGGTAATGAGAGTGGATGATTTGATGGCCATTAGCATTATTATGTGGTCCTGTGATCAGGCAATGGGCAAAGAGAAGAGATCTTTAAGCATGATTTATTAATTAGCACGCTATGTTTTCATGCTCTCTATGAATTTGGCTGTGCCACTCCACCACCGGAACTATCAGTCAAATTCTTGGACATTTTAGTCACTTTATAAATCGTTGCAGTTATTGATGGCTCTGCAGTATAGGCAGTTAAACTGCTTGTATATTTACACATGAAAGGGGTTCAAAACATCACCAAGATGTTAAGGAGAATTGATAAAAGCAACTGACAACTGACCAGTTGTCAAAACCATCTTGACTTTGGTTTACTTTCTTGATTTCTTCTACTCATGCCCCGATAAGTCTGTAAGATGACATTGCATGCACAAATGTTATAGGTTTAGAATATTATGTTAATGATGATAATAAATCATTATGCGAAGATTGTGTGGATGTGTGATGAGCTTTCAGCACAAAGCTTGTCTGACACCGTTGTCAGATTAATCATAAATCCCATTGATCACTAGATAGAAGAGAATGTCAACAGCAATGCTTACCAAAATAGAAAAAAAAACTCATTAAGTCACATAACTTAATCCTCATCAGCGTAACACACACTGACCTTCTCTCGCTCCCTTTTACAAAGTCTGTTGGATTAAATTGAATACAATACTAAACTTTCTGTTTATGTCTGCGTATTGAAGACATTATGTCAGTAAATCTGTGATTATTCTGAAAACCGATTTAATTAAACAAGAAGCAAAAGACACAGCGACACTTTCCTTTCATATTCTATTCCTTTTGCAGGATAATCTTGATGTATGTTCACTAACCAATAATTCACAATGATCTAACATAGAATTTGTGACAAAACTTACCCGTCTGATTAAAAAAAACATTTTAAAGAGAGCATCCTTTGAAAATATGAGGCTATCCAAGAGCTGCTTATTTCACTGTGTTCCATGGGGAATGTGGTTATCTAATGGTGCCTTTACCAACTTCCTCAAAACTCATTGAGAGTAAGTAAATCCTGACAGATGTTTCCAAAGCTGCTGGCACACAATCATTCCCCTCAAATCTATTGCGCAAAACATCCACACTGCTTTACACACGACCTGTTGGAAGTTTTCCCCACAGTGCAAGAACACTCTATATAACTTAATTATATATAATTTAATAATGTTACTGAATGCTAATGGACATTAATTGACAGATATCATCTAAATTAGCAGGTTCTTTTGTTTAATAATGCACAAGCTTTTCACCTGAATGTCTAAAACTCTAAAAATGAACTGAAGGGAAGGGTTGTAACACTTTCCCACATACTGGACCCACAAAGACAACACAAATGTGTATATCGGCCACATTTAAGTGACTGACACAAACACCCTGTTATGTTTTTAAAGTTGCTATATGTTTTTTTTTTTTACTATACTGTACATATTATAAATTAAAATATTTCGGTAACACTTTAGGGACCAATTCTATCAACTAGTTGCTATTAGCATGCATGTTACTAGCATATTAGCTGTTTATTAGTACGTTTTCAAATGTAAATCAAAAAAGCCCATGTAGAGAGTGAGGTACAGCACGTAATAACAGCACTCTTTGACATTCATTTACACAGTTTAGGGATTCATTTCAAAGTATAGAGGACAAATATGGGAATGTTATATCAAAGTTTGAGACATAAACAGCCAAAAAAAACAGCCAGTTTCAGACAAATAAGCAATAAAAACCACCCAGCCTCACTGAATGCCTTGGCTTTGAAATTTGAAATGTAACGGACTTAACGAACTCTCACCTCCTCCGTGGATATTCTCCTCACAAGAGTACCAGATCCCCGTGTGAAAATGCCTAAAGAGAAATCGGTCGTCACCAGTTTCCCAGCTATAGTGAACTTTACTCGGGTCTGTCTCGTTCACCCCATAGTCAATACAATTATGCCGTCTTTCCTTACTGCAGTTGGGTTTGGGGACCCTCTGAGTCCCTTCGCACCAGTAGGTCGTGATGAACGCCGTCGTTGAGAATAAGAGTGCCAGAAGATTTAACCCCACAGACAGCAGAGCACGGCATTTTCGAGTGGTCTTCATAGTCCTGTAAGAAGTGGCTCACACACTTGAAAAATCTTGATCGGTATGAGGAAAGCGCAGCGGCTGCGCTCACCTCACCTCTGCTTACCGGCCCGAAGTGACAGTGACAGGTTTGATCTTCACACATATGAAATGAGCATCACTCCTCCGGTGCTCGCAGGTGGATCCATTCGCATGGAGACGTGACTCAAGTAAGAAAGACCTCTGAGGCATCTTTGAGACAAGCACTCACGCTGCCAACTGTTGTGACTCTCTCTCTCTCTCTCGCTCTCTCTCTCTCTCTCTCTCAAACTGTTTTTAGAACCTATTGGGATCATCAGTCTATTTTTTTTTATTAAGAACATTATATAGACAAAGAGAAAAGCAGTCACAATGTAGAACAAAATAAATAATAAGAAAAAAAACAAAACAAGAAAACTAAAACTACAGGGTACAAGACAGGGGTATATAACTAATCACAAAAGATCACATCAAAGGAAAAGATTAAAAGACTTACACATTTCAATTGTTTTTAAAGCCTTCTTGTTACACGAGTTAAAGATAGTCCCAAAGTAATGCTATCATCAGTCTATTGTGTAAAAGTAATCATGGCTCAATGACGTCAGTGTGCGAATTATACAAAGACTTGACTTTTTTCTGGGACTTGTTTTTAATAGGATTTATTTATTTATTTTTATTTTTTATTTTTTGTTCTTTGGTGGGTCAAGCAAAGTTAGCCAACCCTTAATTGTCTTATAGACTTAATAAAAGCCCCTTTCACACACAGTAAATTGCTGTAAAATTACCGGAACCGGAAATTACAGTGATATTCTGTCTTTTTGGAAAGCACCATTCTGTCAATTTCAAAATACCAGTAAATTCTGTGACATCATTAAATGGAAATGACCTCTAAACGCCTGCGCATCCAGGTGTTGTGTTTGTAAACGCTGTCAGTGTTTTTGTTGATGTTTTCATTTTTGTGTCAAACATTCATATTCATGCAGCGCTTTTGGCCCAGACACATTGCATTAGACGAATTCAAACTGAACTACAGCGCAGAGTAATTGCATCATCTGTGTCAGAAAGTTATGACTGGCCCAAAGTAGACGTCTTACGTCAGCGCGTTCTGAACTTGTACGTGCTCACACCGGTAATCTCATTCTGCGTTCATACTTCCCACAGAGCGCATTACCGGTAATTTACTGGTAGGCTAATGTTACAACTTCTCATACCGGTAAATTACCGGAACAAATTTACCGGTATTTTTGAAAAGATCCTGTTCACACATGATCTCTGAACGGTAATTTACCAGTAAAGACTGTATGTGTGAAAGGGGCTAAAGACTGTAAATTGTGATTTTATATGTGATGAGAAAATCTAACAGACAATGACACTTTTGTCGTTGTACTTAAAGCGCTGGAGCGACGTACGTACTGTTGTACTTTTAGTATGGTTACCTCCAAGCGAACACGACTTTTGTTATATACAGTATATATATATATATATATATACACACACTCAGACTTATATTTAAACTCATACAATTGCACACAGATAACATTTTTAAGAACTTAAATTAGATTATAGATTTGTGGGGGGGAAAGACTCTTCGTATCATAATCTTGGACATCTTTATTTATCATTGACCCTGATATAACGATAGCCCTGTTAAACATTCAATATTTGCTGCTATTTGGCTCTTTTCACAAACTTAATTTTATGGGCATTTTATATGCCCTGTAAGAGCTTTGAATCTATTAATTCTTTACTGAATTAGTGTGTATAGAGCAAAATCAGCTTTTATTGATTTAAACACAGACCTCTGTCTCAGACAGACCACTCACAGCAAGAACTCATCACATATAATTTTATGGTTCCTCCTTAATCAATAAAATGGTGTATGAGTTGCACTCTGTTAAAGGGTGAAATTTCTCACAGGGCTCAGGCTTGTCGTATTGTGAACATTATAGCTTAACATTATTTTGTCATTTATACAACAGGAATCAAATTTCATATCTGAAAATAAACCTGTCATAACGGTGACTCTGTAAATACCCAGTGCTTTGCATTTATAGTTAGATATGCCATGGCGGTAATAAAACAGGTTGTAATTTAAAGCTTATATTTTATCATGTCAAGTGATCAGCTGCCACAACATGTTCAATGTATGTTTGTGTGTGATTTGTGTTCAATGATTACAAGGGTTAGAGCTTCTGATATGGTCCTCTCCGTTAGGATGGAGAGCATGGCCCAGCTGTCAGCTAATGTTTTCTTCGTGGCAGGAGGTTACAAAGCCTGACCCTGTTTTGCAGTCAACTTGACATTCATGAAATAATTCTCAACATCATGAAATACCATTTCTACCTCAAACACATTTAGCAGAAGCCTAGAAATCCATATTTCTGTCATCTTACACAAGCATACCTGAATCACTGGAATACAACAATACACTGTGTGTCTGTCTTGAGATTTCTGAGCACAAAAATAAACTCTTGCCATTGTTTATTTTACCATATTTATCCCTATGCTGAGATGAGATGGAAAAAAAACAAAGACACCCTTTTTGATAAGCCATAGCAAATTGAGCGTAACACGCTGACAAACAGGCAGGTGGTAGCGTCACTTCTCCGGCTGTCAATTCAAATTAAATTTTGCTCAGTCATGCCTTCAGATCACACTAAAACACACTCAACAAACAAGATCTGCAGTAGCAAGGGATGCTCTGCATGCTCACTCAAACACTTGATTACAATGTGACATTGACATCCGCCATTCTGACCATGGAGCTTCACAGACAGATTTGACCTCTTTTCTGAACCATTTTGGTTAGATAACGGTTGCTGGCTTCATAAAAACAGACCATGTCTTGTTCTTTGTCAGTGCATTCATTCAATTCCCTCCCTTTTGATTCTGAGTTTTTCTGAGTTAATATTGCTACAGACCATACTGTCTGGACTGCAATATTATGTAAGAGCAGTCCATGCAACCACCAGTCCCTTCCAATAAATCATGCCTCGATTTGTGCACAACAGCCAATGAAATGCTGTGAAAGTAATCTAGGAATCCATTCCACAGTCAGGAGTCATTTTCAAAATACCATTTCCATCAAATTTGTATGGCATAAACTTTGGAAGTCCATTATTTTGAGAGGTTAATGATATTTATGCAAATTGGAATGTGATGGATTTGGACAAAAGGACGATAACCAGGGCTGTGTCTAGAGGCCTGGTCGTTCCCATTTCAGTAGAAACTAGTACAAGATCTGACAAGATTGCCTAAATTCATGTTTTTGAAGGCATTTCTGATGATTGTTTTGATTTTCGCCAGTAATATTTTTTATTTCAGAAGTTTAACAAGCAGAGAGAGTATAGTTTGGCCTGTTTAGCTAGGTTTAAATCTTAATTGTACATTCTCTATGTGCTATGTATTCAGGGGAAGGCTCATTCATATTCTGTTCATACAAATGCAGACTGTCTCCCCAGGTAGTTCCCAGAATTGCCATGATTAACCTAACAGCATGATCAGAGGGCTCTTTTCCTCCTCTCATCTCCTCATTCCTGGCCATTAATGCATTAACGACTCTTGAACTCAGACACAAACTGTTGTTTACTCTGTGAGTCTCTATTGATTTACAAGATACCTTGGATCTGGATGCGTCACAAGGTTGTAATGAGGTTAGCGTACATATTTCTGGATGACTGTCTTTATGAGTGAGTCATTGCCTTATTCATTCAATTGATTCATTCAAAACACTGTCACTGAATCATTCCCTGACTCACTCAAAACATTGATTCATACAGGAACAACTCAGTTTGGTTTTGCTGAAGCAAAAACACAGTAACTGTCAATATTGTATATGAATGCAAGTTTATAATGTGCCATAATACTGTTAAGATCAGACTAAGATTCAAAACTCTTATTGTTTTTTTCCCCCTCTGGTGTTTAGGAGTAATATTGTCTATCCTGCATCCTCTGTATGAAGGCATGTTTTGATGCAATCTGATGTAACAAATATGTCATTTTTGCAGCTTGTTTCAATAATTTCTCTTTTTCTCCTTAACGGTGTGGAAGGAAGTTTTGAGTCCTAAAATTCACAGTATGTTCTCATACTATATAAAACTAATTACAAAAGATTAAGGAAACTTAGATTTGACTTGTTTTGACCATGACTGGACTAACTACATTTGCTCTGATATTAGAGTTGGTTAGTGCCTGAATGGTGGGTTTTTAATCTGCCATGAGAACAGCTGTTAGCCTGTCTTATCTCGTAACCTCTGAAGGGGCAGAGAAAAAAGGTGTTGACAGATGTTTATGTGTCACCTTTACACCTCTACAGATGCTCAAAGTCAACGGCTCAAATTCATGTCATCCCTGGTACTTCCTTCCTCCTGATTGTGCCCAGTATTGATTACATTTTTACCTCCTGTTATTAAAACTGTTCATTCTTGATTAAAACAAAACAAACAAAAAAAATCTTTACATTTAAAAAACAAGAAAAGAAAATGTCTTGGTCTGAATAACATCCATATGGTGAGAAAGATCAGACTATAACATTATCTAAGAACCTACTGCCACAGATGAACCAGGAATCTGTAGTCCTAGGAATGAAGACTGCAAACAAAGAATTGTTTACCCCTTATATTTCTATTTTAAAGCATCTGTGAATGTCGACTGTTATGAGCATGATGACTCAGCTTCGTAAACACTTGATATGGGAATCTTATTGGATTCGCAGATGAATGTGCATAAATTTCATCCCTTGTGATGTTTCAGGTGCACATGCTGTTCTTCATCCTCCTTTAATTAAAATCTTTTGAAGTGCTGTACAAAAGTTCCTCGGGAGGCTTTCGCGCTGTCTCATTTCCACAGTTCCTCCCTGACTCATCAGATGCCCTTGCCCCGGCCATTCTCTGAACCTCTATTTCACAGATGGTGCGGCACACAACAAGAATGATCTTCTGTTGGGCCGTGTTCATTTCTGATTTAGGAATAGAGGGAGCAAAGCAAACAAGCTCAGTGGAATCCATCAATGCGGTGGCCTGAGAGTGGAAAGGTGGTGTAAATCTGAAGCCTCTCTATGGTGAGCGAAACAAGGCTATTACAATATAACTCTCTGATGAATGCACGCACTTCACTTTACTATTTTTTTTTTAAATCCAGGAACAGATACTGTATAAGGAAGATGCAAACACTTCCTTCA